ACTGTGTTTTTATAGTTCAGTGACATAGATGTATTCTCCATTATACTTCAGTACCTGCCTGCAGAGTAGGCACTAAAAATTGTTGAATAAGTGAAAGAATAAGTAAAGCCTAATAGTGACAGGGTTTTGTAGAAGTAAATAAACAATTATTGCTGAAAATACCACAGATACATGGAGGGAGGCAGTTTAGTACAGTGGAAAAAGCACCAGGAGTCAGAAAATCTGAGTTCTAATTCCACAGCTAAAGGTAAACGGCCATATGACAGTATACAAGTCTCTGGGTCTTGTAAAAGAGGGACTTGTAATAACCACTTTTGCCTAATTTATAGGCAACATGAATCATTAATATAATGATTATTATACTAATCATGAATATGATTAATAGAATATGAATCATTAATATAAAAATGCTTTGCAAATGTAAATGCATAAAGTCAAGGTTTTTTTCTCCATGCCTAGCATAGTGCCTTGAAAGGTATTAGCACAAATAGAGACTTTCTCTCTTAATAGTAAAAAAGAAGAAGCTAAGAAACAGAGTCTAGGACTGATTGTAGGAGAGCTCACATGAGTGCTGGGAGGAAGAGGGAGAATGAGGAACCTACGAAAGAGAAGCGAAGAACCAGAGAGGAAAGAGAAGAGGAGAATCAGGAAGTCAGAACCCTCTACTTCCTAGATTGGCTTTTCACTAAGCTTTGCCTGCGCTGTTGGGGAAAGGGCATAGTTAATAATCAACAAAAACTTTTGATGTAATTTTTTGAACTCTGCATAAGTAGATGTTCTCCCTTTTGAGAAGTATTTGAGGGTGAAGAAAAGTTTCTCCTGTAAGATTAAAATTAAAGACCTGCACTTGGTAGTTTAAGAATACTTAAACTTTGATTTTATTTATTTTCTTCAATAACCTAAGTAACTTATTATCATGAAAACATTAAATGTCTTAAGTCTGCTAACTGTGGTCTGGACAGCGAGCATTCATTATCATGGGAAGGACCTGGTGTGAATTGCTTCCCAATCTGTTGCTTGGCACACTACTGTTCTCTGAGATACTAAAATAAGTTTGGGAAATATACTCCCTGCCTGCACCCCCCACAGTTATGAGTACACCTAGACTGCGAGCATCCTGAAGGCAGGGTCTTGGTTGCTAATATCATAGCCCCAGTGTATGGCAGAAGCACGTGAGCCACTAAGAGTATGGATGAGAAGTGAAAATCACATTGGTTATTTCTGGTAAGATGGTTTTAAAATTGTAGATGTCATGTTAGCGATGGCTAACATATTTTTACTGATGTAGTATACATATATTTGATTTCCAGGGATGGCTTACCTGAAGAATATCCAAAATGCGATACTTCTAATATGTATACCAAACCAGGAGACAATTTCTTTTGTCACAAAAAGCTCATTTGCACATGTAAAGGAAGGTCATTTAAAATAGTAAGATACCTTAGTATATTTATAAAATGATTGAGTTGTAAATTCAAGAAGTCTATTAATTTTTCAGAAAAATGTAACTTGTAGAATGTAAGGTACACCTGAATAAACCTTATTGCCAGTGACCATGTGTTCACTATTTTTGGTAGGTGGATTACTGGTGGATTGATTATCCCTGGTTTTCTTCCTATTAGCTCATTTTACAAATATATAAGAAAAATTTATGAGGCAAAATTAAATTATTTTATTATGTGGAACACCAACACCATAATTTGGTGGGGCAAGGGTGGGGTGGTATATGAAAGTAATAGCTAAAATCTAATACTCAAATAATATATGGTTGTTAGTTACCTGTTCTAGACTCTTACTCTAAATCTCTGTTGTCTAGTATGCTAACCATTAGCATATTTTTATTTAAATTTAAATTAATTTAAGTGAAGTAAAATGAAGAATTCAGTTCTTCAGTCACAGGGGCCATATTTCACGTGCTCAGTAGCCGCACACAGGCATGTGGCCAGGAGCTGCTGTGTCGGGCAGTGCAGTTAGGGAACATTTCTTTCCATCGGCAGAGAAAGTTCTGTTCGACAGCTCTGTTCTAAATTAATGACAGTTGCTAAGAGACTTTACTAAATTTATGTATCCTGAAAGTTGGAAAATAGAGTTGCCGGAAGTTGGAGACCTTTCCTCTCTGGAATTCTTAGGTGGGGCCCTTCAAGATAGTTAAATTCTCTAGTAAGGGACAGAGGGAGCTAGCTTTTAAATTCTGGAGTCTTCCTTGATGTCCATGACAGCCAGGCCAGTCAGGGTGCTACCTCCGTTTTACAGAGGAGATGGTGCCTGGAAGCAGAGGAGCTGCAGTTTGAGCCCAGGTGCATCTGACTCGAAGTGGTAATTGTTTTTTTTGGGGCTGTAGTAGTGTCGATTTGATCCTAATCCCCAGTTCATGGTATTGTCACTAGTCATTCAAAGAGTTTTTCTTCCTCTCATCTATAGCAGCCATTTTTATGTGTTTGGTGTATCTTTTTGCTTGTTTTTGCAAAATGCATATTGTAGCACAAGTTTGTGAATTTTACATTCACAAGATACTATTATGTATCTAATGTGATATTTTTCCTCTCTCCATCTCAGATGATTTAAGCACTCAACCTTCTTTTCAGAGTTTTGCCAGGAAGTCTTTCTAAATGGTGTTAGACTTTCTGGCTTTTGTAGAGAAGTCTGAAAGAGTCCTTCCTCCTCCTCTTTGCCCAAAGGATTGTCCTTGAATGCTTATATATGAGTTTTTATAAGTTACTTTTGTTTCCTTCTTCATGAGGTGGTCAGTGATTACTTCTCATAGATATTGATGTATCTGAGCATTGTTGCTGTATTTTTTTTAATTGAAATTTTTATTGAGCTAATTGTAGATTCACACCTAGTTGTGAGAAGTAATACAGAACAGTCCCTGTGTACTTTGTTCAGATGAAGGCTGGGAAGGGGGTTAGACGGGTTTGGTAGAATAATGTCAAGAAAAAGTGAGGGCCTGAGACATTCTCTTATGAATGTAATACATGAACTTTAGCATGTGGACTGTATTGCAGCTGTCTTTCTGCTTAACTTTTTAGTAAGTGTTTCAGATAGTGAAATTATATAGCTGAGTTCCCTGTAAGTGATATCATGTAGTATTTCCTTTCGTTTAAGCAAATTGAAATTTTCATACAAACACTGTTGAAAGTAATGACACAAATGTGAAATCTTAAATTTTGATAATGATGAGATATTTCTGTGTATGTTTTGTTTCAGGTTGTTTCACGAAGAAATCCAGAGGATGTCCAGGAGGTAACATGTTATTCATATGAAAATTTTATTTTATGTATTTGACAAAAATTTAATTAAATGCCCAATTGAGGAAACTAAATTGTCAGTCTTTGTATTTGTATGTTTGTGTGGAGACTGTCTTCAGATCACAAAACAGTAGCAGAAGCGTCCCATTTCAGACCTATGAAGTACATTTTAAGTTGTAGTAGGTTTTAAGGCATATGAATAAGAATTTGAGGAATTATTCAGACCTATTAAATATGTGTTAGATTTTAGTAGGTGTTAAATTGTATAAATAGGATTTTCAGGAATCATAGTGCTGTTTATTAATAATGTGATAATTTTTCTGATAGGTAGCACTCATCAGATTTCAATATTAGTTAAAGGCCCCTGTTTACCTATTTCAAAATCATGATGCCTGTTTAATAAAAAAATGAACATTGGTAATTAGTATTAATTTTAAAGGTTATAATATTAAATTATGGGTTTCTGTCTATTTCCATTTTACATTGAGTTGACATGTTGACATCCTGGAGAACTGCTTTGGGCGTAGATGTTTCTTTTTCAACGTTTGTAGTTGTTAAGTTCTTTTGAATACTCCCTCTCTAAAATGATACTAGTTTCTTATGTTTTTGCTTAAAACCATAGTTCTCTATTTGTAATTACTTTATACTTATATACCTTTAGAAATCCTATTTGAGGAACTTATTTTAAGTTTTTTGATTTTCTTTCATATTAGTATTTGCTCATTTCCTTTTTTAAAAATGAATTTATTTCCAGTTTCAGTTGTCATACAGTATTATATTAGTTTCAGGCGCATGACATATTCATTAGACACTTATATACCTTCCGAAGTGGTCACTCTATCTCATTTCACTAAGATTAGGAGGACGTAGTATATTGGGGATTTTTTTCTTACTAAAGAAACAGACATTGTAAGTTAGCAGTCTTGATTCTACAACAGGTTTTTTTTCCCCCCAATTGAATTTTAATGTCTTGGGTGGGGTATGTACTCTCTATTGAGCCACAAGCCCCACTACTTCTTTCTGAAAAATCTAGTTTGATTCATACATTTAAGTTGATGGATTGGTACTGGTTGGTTTGAGTATGTGACATCAGGTTTAGAATGTATTTTGACTTTTATATATTACCATTTCTTATTATATCTATTCTGATAATTGTCCCCCCCCCCATGGTTAAAATAGTTAAATAAAAGACATTTTAAACAGATTTCTTAATATTTTTCTTAGGGTGTTAAGGTATCTAACTCCTTCCCACTGCCCTGCCCCCAATAGCCATGAAGAGAATATTGTAATACTGTCATTTTGGAAGAAAAGAATATATATCTATATATCTAGACTTCTAAAATGTCAGGGAAACAATGGAATACTATGCAGCTTTAAAAATGAAGGATCTTTTACCCTTTGAGACAGCTTGATGGGACCTGGAGAGTATTATGCTAAGTGAAATAAACCAGTCAGAGAAAGACAAGTGTCACATGATCTTACTCATATGTGGAATCTAATAAACAAAATAAACCAGTGAACAAAATAGATTGAGACATAGAAGCATGGAACAGACTGAGGAATCTCAGAGGGAAGGCAGGGGTGGGTGGGGAGAGTTTAATGTAAGAATTTATATGCATATATGCATAACTCATGGACACAGACAATAGTGGGGTGAAGGCCTGAGAGGAGGGGTACAGGGGGGAGGGGGCAATGGGGGAAAAGGGGACATTTGTAATACTTTCAACAATAAAGATAAATTAAAATAAATAAATAAAGTTAAAATGGCAGTGAAAGTAATTTGCACCATTGATTGAGGTATTCTCTTTACTTAAGTGTCAGTTCATTAGTATGAGCTGTTCTTTAGAATTTAGAATTCTTTAGAATGTTGAATAGTCAATAGCAGGGTTTTCTGCTTTTGAAAATTTACAACTCTGTTAAAACTGAAAATGGGTGTGTTTCTTTTGAAAATATTGTCTGATTGCTGTGCTGTAGTTTGTAGCTTGATGTTCCCCTTTTCCAGGGAGAATCCTGAACCAACCTATCATGAACACACTCTCTGCCATTTCCTTAATCCTTTTTTGGGGAAAACTCTTTTATAATAACAACTGTTGGTGAACCATTCATCACAAAACTCTTGTAAGTGTCCTTTAGTTAGAAGATTGCATGGTCCTTTGTTAGAAATGCTATAAAACAAACAAACCATGTCTTCTATCTGGCTTCTTAAAATATAGAATAACCTCAAAATTATAACTTTTTAGATTCTCATATGTTTCATTTAAACATTGGAATTCTCATTCAGGAGAGGAATTTACTTCCAAGAATTTGTTTTCATTTTCTTTCCCTTCACTTTCTCTCTCTGTTAACTGATTAATTTAGTTACTGCTTTAGAATTTAGGCTTCGCAGGGCTATTGAGAATTAGTAGATGTATAGTTAATTTAACCAAATATAAGGCTACTAATATACTATCCTTATAAAACTGGAGAAATTTTGCTGTTTGATTATACATACGTACATGCATACATACATGCATACCTTGGCACATGCAATGTTTTCTTCCTAAGAATGCTTAAATACTAATTTGGAATAAATAATTTAAAATTATGAGATCGCTTTGGGTCCAGGAATGGCAAGACCAGCAAGAAGATCACCATTACTGACTGTGGACAGCACTAATAAATTGACTTGTGCTTTATCTTAACCACCAGATCCTTCCTTCCGTAGCTCAAGAGAGCACCCCTTCACCCCCATCTCCTTGGGATGTTCTATAATCTTTGGGCTGTCTCTGCAGTTCATTGGGTTCTCTATTTTCTTTACTTCTTCCAAGTCTAGCTGGATCGCAGAGTTAAGTTTTATGATTATGAAATTAAAGCTAAACAATAAAAAAATGATCGGATAGCTTTTTTTCCTTATCTATTAAACATTTCCTCTAAATTTTTATTTAAGAGCAGTATGGGTGAAGCTGAGGGGGGACAACAACAGTCAATGTGGCCTCGCTTTCAGAAGATTCTCTAGAGCATGAATACTTGTAATGAGTAAAGAGAGAGGTGGAAATGTGCCCTCTGTCCCCCACCTTTTAAAAAAAGTAGGTAGTAAATTTCACTGGTGTCAGAAATGTGTCAAGGGAAAGAAAATCCATAGCAAATAGTACGGTAGATGATCCAGCAAATTCTAAGTCCTGTGCTATAGAAGAGTAAAAAGTACAAAGTTAATTGAATTGAGTGGTTTTGTAAAATACAAGAGAACTAAAGGTTTTTGGTGTCATTAAATAAAGTTATCTTAAAACTTTTTAATGTAAAAATATTTAAGGGAATGTTTTTAATAATAATTAAGCTTTTATTAAATTTGTAGTCTATGTAATTGTCACTAAACTAATATTTAATTGGGGAATTTTACTCATAACTGTAATGAATAAGAAATTTCTGCAGAATTGGTTCAATAGAGCGATAGCTGTTATACAACAATTTTTATTTTATTTTATTTTATATTATTTTACTTTTTCCATCACCATTTATCCCCTCTATGCACTCTTCCACCTCTGTCCACCTCCCTTGGTTTTTTTTATAATAGGAAAAAATTGACTATTAGAGAAAACAATTTTTTGCATGTATCTTTTGGAACTATATATACACTAATACTTGTTGATGTTATGGGAGTGTGCTTCTGTTCACTTTTCCATTTTGAAGCTTTCTAGAAATGTCTGAGCTTAAAAGGAGTAAGATGAAAGGGAGTCAGTGAATGGTGATACTTTGTGGTGCTTGGGTTTCCCACATTTCTTGAGGGCTTATATTTGCTCCTAGGTCTTTCAGTTCTGAAGGTCTAGTGCTGAGCATAGGGAACATGTGAGTGAATAAATGCAGATGTGGTGAAGGAGCACAGGTGCTCACCCTGCGCAGGTGAGGGCTCTTATTCTTGTTCTGACAGCCTGCTGTTATATAAATTATTATCATTATTGGGATTAAATGGTTAACTTTTCCCCTTAAGTTGCTCTGCCTTTATTTTACAGTGACCCTAGCTAGAATGTAAATTTTACCTGCAGATTTGCTTCCGTGAGCTATGGTCTCTTGAGTGGCTCTCACGTCTGGCTTATGGTGGCTCTACGTTTACCTTACATGGGGTTATTCTTACAGGTGCCTCACCCACTTCCTCCTTAAGCTCTTGCAGTGTGGTACCACCATAACCTGATCTCTTTTTAAAACATAGCAATATCATTGTTTTTTCCCCCATGGCAGAATTATGTTCATGTATCAAAATTAGAAACTACAGAGAAGCACAAAATACGAAAAGTAAAATCTCTGTAATTTCACTCTTCTGAGGACTTTTGCTTTTTAAATACTGGTTTGACTCTCTCGGTTGCTCTTGCTCTGTCTTTTACTGGAATGGTTGGCTCTTTGCCCTCAGCATTTGTGTCACTGACTTCCATTTAAAAATAAAATTTCTTCTTCCACCCATGTGCCCTCTCTCAGGGCTCAGTCAAGCTTCCTAACCGCTTACTTGGCGCTGGGTCTTCTCTTCTTTACGCCTGGCTGGCCCTCAGGGTTAAGGCTCCCTACCATTCTGTGAGGCTCCTCTCATCACAGACGCTGAGAAACCGTTCCTGAGGGGTCACCACCTCTCTGCTCATGCCCCCAGATCAGTACTTCTTGCTGTTCTTGCCCTTGAACCCCAAGCCCATCCATCCTCGGGGACATCTCTAATTAGATGCCTCACGAGCGCCTAAATTAAATGAATCTAAAGCTGAACTTTGTTCTTATCTCCAGATAACGTCTCTCCCTTGGCTTTTCATCGTGGGGAATAGCATCACCATTTATCCAGCTGCAGGGCCAGAATTCCAGTATCGAGACCTGGCGTCTCTCTCCCCTTAGAAACTTCGCCCGCAACCCTTCTCTCCCGCTTTTGTCGGCCTAGTCACTGCTTCCCTTCAGGCCGTCGCCCGAGATAACACTCTCTGGAAAGCCTTGTCAGGGCCCCGGGCCGCCCTTCCTCTAGGCTGCGCCTCACCCCTTCGGCGTGTGCCAGCGCAGTGCCCGGCAGGAGCGGGCCGTGGAAACACTTGTTTGGAGGACTGGTTTTGTTGTTGGGTAAATGACTAAAAGGAAGCCTCAAGAGGGAGCATTTTACGTAAATTAATCATCGTACAGTCTGTCTAGTCCCCTAGGGGTGTATTTGAGTTAGAAACAAGAAACTTATTAACCATAGTAGAATATTTGGTAGTTTGACAAAGTTTAGTGAAGAATTTCATATATGAAGGGAGTAAATTTTTGACAAGAGTCTTAATGCTTTGCTTATTGGCATTGTGCTCTAATATTGGGTTTGTTAGGAGTGAGGTGAGTAGATTTTTTTTTATTATTATTAAGCAAATGCCCCAGTATACAAGGTGACGAAATTTAAAACTTAGTTTTACTCATTTTGTGGAGGCTGAAGGGCGAATCAGTGATACCTTGGCCTTGCTCAAAATTTTTTTCTTTATGAACTTTTCTAATTTAATCTGAATGAAGTTAAACAATAATTGAAACTAATGAAGGTAAGCTTACTTTTTTACATGTTGTATAATATAGATTATTGTTGTTTTTGAAATATGCTAGTTTTAATGGTGATCTGATCAGAATTCACCTTGCTTCCAGAAATCTTGTTACTGCTTTAAATGGAGATTTAGGAAATAAAAAAGTTCATCTTAATTACTTGCTACATAGCTATTTTTCCTCACTGTTACTCACTTTGTTTATCCTTTTAGACAAATACTGAGAATGTGCTTTGTATTTAAAAATTGTCTAAGTTAGTTATTTTGTGTTCGTAAACATGCTGTTTTTGTTTTTTTTTAAAAATATATCTTTATTGATTTCAGAGAGAGGAAGGGAGAGGGAGAGAGAGAGAGATAGAAACATCAATGATGAGAGAGTCATTGATCGAGCCCACAACACGGGCATGTGCCCTGACCGGGAATCGAACCCTGATTGCCTGGATCCTAGGTCGACGCTCAACCACTGAGCCAAGCCCTGCTGGGTGTAAACATGCTGTTTTTGAGACAGAATATATATATATATATTTTTTTACATCTAGCTCATTTCCATGGCCGGTAGTAATTGGCTTTTGAAGAGGTTAAATGACATTTTAGGTAGGGTAGACCTTCTTTGTAGCAGGTGGAATATTTCGCCAGTATGAAGAAAACAGTACTGTTTAAAATGAAATTTAAAAATTAGGACACAACATTTGGAGGAAGAATTGCTGTTTTATATTTTTAAAGCAAATATTAATTAATTTTAGACAGTTAACTATATTGGTTAGAAATATACTTGTTTTCCTTTGCATGACAATTTTGAGCACTTTAATGAAACAATTATGTTCAGATATCTGAACCTAAATAGTTTTACTATGAGATACACATTTAATTTTCTTCTCTCTTTAGATAATTGTGTGGAAGAGATACAGTGACTTTAAGAAACTATACAAAGAACTGTGGCAAATTCACAAAAACTTATTCTGCCATTCAGAATTATTTCCTCCGTTTGCTAAAGGAAAAGTGTTTGGTAAGTGATTATTTTGAATTTGTGATTTTAAAACGTGATGATTAACTCATTATGCATATATGCTAAACCCTGAAATACCATGAAGTCAGAAGCCCCTTTATTTATTATAATAATTCATAATCATGCAGCAAGCATCAGGCACCTGAAGTTTTTCATCTTTTTGGTATAGTTTTACTAACTCAAAACGCATTTACTCCTGTCTTCCATGAAACAGCAGCACAACTCCAACCAATCAAAAAAAGTGTGAGAACATAAGAAAAGATGATGTTGAATTATTCTTATATTTCTGAATTAAAATTTTTTTTTAATGTTTATACTTGGTATGTTTCTTGCAAATGTTGACCTATTTATCATATATCAAAAAATTGTTAATATAGATCTCTAAAAGAAATAAAAAAAAAATCAAATTATATTTAGACTTGGATGGCAAGTCTGAATAGTTACAGTTTGTTTTTTTCCCCATAGACTTTTAAAAATAAATGGTCTCAAGGGTTGAGATTTAATAAAGTTAATAAACTTTCTGCTTCATCAAGGACATTCTTAAGTGAAACTGGCATTTAAAAAAATTTTAATACAAGTGAGTGGCAGTAAGGAATCACGATTACTAGTAAGTGTAGTTTGGTGCCATTGTCTTGACTCCTCCTAAGAGGACAGCAGTTTCATTGCCATTGGTTTTAGATTATCAGTGCAAATGTCAATGTGCTGAAAAATGCAACCCCTGTCTTAGTATGAAAATGGCTTTGACCTTGTTGATCTCTTGTGTGGTCCTTGGGGGACCCTCAGCAGTCTGTGGACCACATTTTGAAAACACATACACACACACACACACACAGAGTTTTACACACACATATGTACATATACATGGGTGTTCGTGCAGCATTTTCAGTAGAAGAATACTGAAAATAAAATGAATTTTCACAGTATGTGATTGTATGGATGTGCCATAATTTAGCCCATTCATAGAATTCTTCAGCTATTTGAGATATACTATATGGAAATATGTCCTGGGTATATTTTTAAGATACAGAAAACAAACGTTGCACAGTAATGTGTTTAGTGAGATCCTTTCTATGTTTAAATAGACATACATATTTGTGAGAAGATGCACCTACACACATTTGTATAACATGTAAAACCTTGGAGGGCATGGGAGGAGGGCTGTTTTTGCTTTTTACCTTAAACCTTCAGTACCGTAGAATTTAACTGTGCACACATATCTTTACATTTAATGTTGGAAGATATACAGCCTGGCTTTGAAAACAGTTAGCTTGCCACTGGGTGAAAGGGAGTGGCTTCCAAATTGGTTCTTAGTTATTATTGTCGCTAATGGATTATCTTCAACTTTTCTCCTCATTCTTACATATTATAGAGTGAAAATTTTTTATTAATCTTAATAAGTAACCAATTTATCACACTCAGATAATGTTACAGTCCATTTGTAATACTTGATAACTGCAGTGAACCCTGCAGGCAGCAGCTGTGGTTGTGTGGAAGGAACTGTGGGTTAATCATCTGTCTTTTTAGCTACTCTTACATTTTTAGTATGTAAGCCTCTGCAGCAAAAGACAATCCTGTTCTAACTTGCAGAACCATCAGATATATAGTTACTACCGTTCTAGTGTTGTAGTGAAAAGAACATATCTTTTGGAATCAGATTTAGGCTCAAGTCTTCTATATACAAATTAACATCTGAGTCTTTTTTCTTATTGGTAAGATAGGGATGACACCTTCCTGTTCTGAGGATTATATCTGTAGTGTGTGTTTAGACTAGTGTTCGACACATATTGGCTGTTGTTAGCCATTATATGTTGCTGAGTTTACCATTTCTCTAACATACATACTCTCTTATATCTCTTTCTTTAGTGTTGCACCGCTCCACTGTGAAGTTTTTGGTTAGCCTTTCAGACTTTTAGATGTCTCCTCTTCCAGGAACCTTTCCATGTTTCCTTTAAACTGAGTTAATTGTTTCCCCTTCCAATGAGTTAGCATCTAACTCATTTTCTCCCCCCAATTTTTTTTTTAATTAAAAAAATAATCAAAAATTTTTTTTTTGCCAGTTTTCTTAATTTGCAAAATTTTCAAATTTACAGCCTCCCCCCCCAAAGAATAGTATGGTGAACATTTATATACCTTTTGCCCAAGTTCACTGATTGTTAACAATTTGCCACATTTGTCTATAACACTCTATGTGTGTGTCTCATTTTTCTTCCTGAAGCATTTGAGGGTAGGTTACAGATATTGTGATAGTTCATCCCTGTTTCCCATATTTTGCCATGTCCACACTACCATATCACACTCAAGAAATTTAACATTAATAACAATATTATCAAATATGCAATCCATATTCAGATATACCCAGCTGTCCTAAAAATATCCTTTTTAGATTTTTTTTTTGCATCTAGGATCATGCCTCTAGATTTGTTTCATTAAGTTAGAGTATTCCTTGTGCATTTCTTTTCTTTCATTACATTGACATTGTAAAAGAGTATAAGAAGTTGTTTTTAGGTTTCACAATCTTGATCTGATTGTTTTGTCATGATGAGATTATTTTGTTGTTGTTATATTTCTCATCACACTCTGATTTCCTATGAGAAAGAGAAAAGCAGCTCCTGAGAGCTAAGAAAGGACCGGCCTGGCACTACTCATCCTCGGTGTTTCTTAGAGTTGACCTGGCATTCACACTAGGCTGTGTTGTCCTGCTGTTGAACCTAAGCAGTTTACAGAACACGAACATTAGACGGAGCCACTATATGACTTTCTGTGTGTCTTAGTTCTGAATTATTTCTTAGCCAGAATTCAAGTACCAAGGTTGCTGAAGCAAGATCCAGTCCGATTCCACTGATCTAACACCTGGTGCCGTTATTGCTGAGACAGACATTACCATGAAGTAGGCATTTTACCGTAAGCATGAGACACATTGGGCTTAGGTAGCACATATATTAAAATTAGAACGATACAGAGAAGATTAGAATGGCTCCTGCACAAGGATGACACGCAAATTTGTGAAGTGTTCCATATTTTTGTCAAATATATGGTGATGGAAGATTTGACTTTGGGTGGTGGTCACACAATGCAATATACAGATGATGTATCAGAGAATTGTATACTTGAAACCTATATAATTTTATTAGCCAATGTCACCCCAATAAGTTAAAAAAATAAAAAATAAAACCATTTCTTTCACTTACCAGGAAGTAGACATTTCACCATAAGCATGAGACTCATTGAGCCGAAGTATTTAGTGGTTCAGTTTCAAATTCTTGCCTTGGGTAATAGAACTAGGAATCTCTGTGCCTCAGCTTTCTGTTAACGTTTTGCAAAGCTACTGGAAATGTTTAAGCAGGTGATGATGTTACTTTTAATTTTGTATTTTCTTAAAAACTATTGCCATCAAGATGATACATGGCAGGCGTCAAATGCCAACTGGTAGTCTGGTCTGAGAGTAGGAAAAATGGTCTTATATGAAAATGTCTTATCAGCACTCAACTTTGTATATATCATTAAACAATTCTATGAACACCACCTTTCCATCACCTTGTAAAACAGCTCACTGGTGCTGTGTGTTCTCTTTTTTTCTCACAAGCGCGCTGTCATGGACACTGACAGTATCACACATGGAATTTGGCCTGAAAAAGTTTTTTTCTTCAAACTGAGGTTTTTGACCCTATTGATATATAGATGTTCTCATAATTCCCTCTCTTTAATTCCTTTGTAAGTCAAAAAGAGTGGGAAAGGGAAAATTATGTGAGTAATTACAGTATTAAATTACTATAGAAAACCATTCTAGTTCTTTATGATTCTCTTTTCAACTTTAGTTTCAAATCGCCAGCTTCTTAAATGGTAAGTTTCTTATATTGACAGGCCTTAGATGATGATGGCACCATTTATTTTTGAGTTGACATCTCTACCTCTTGTTTTGTCGGAAACATTATCTTCTTTTCTGGTGAGAGTGCTGCTGACTCCAGTTGTGGACTCTAGGTTTCACTTCAGAAGGTTGCATAGTAAGCACAGCAAACGGGCAGTGACAGGCCTGCTGCTCTCTGTTCGGTGCACATTGTCATAAGCCGGAGTTTGATCCCTCTTTATTGGTGTGGATTCTTATTTAATTGTAGGACGATTTGATGAAACTGTTATTGAAGAGAGGAGACAGTGTGCTGAAGACCTGCTACAGTTCTCTGCTAATATTCCCGCTCTTTATAACAGTAAACATCTTGAAGATTTTTTCAAGGTTTGGAGGTCTTTTTGAAATATTTTATATTTTATTAAACACCTGTGTTTTATAATGTGTAATAGAGCAAGATTCAAGTTTTTAAAAAAAATAGAAAATGTCATTTACTTTTGAATTTCATGATTCACTAAATATAAGTAGGAGTTAGTAGCTTAATAACTGTCTATGGCATATCTTTTATTTTTAGTGTAGCAATGTATAAGATTTTTGATTGATAGATTTAAAAAATTGATGAATAGGGCTTAGAGATGATCTGAATCACTCCATCATAATAGGAAATACATTAAAAACATTTTTAAAAGTATCATAAAACTCCAGTAGTTATCTCCACTTTTTGAGGTTCCTTTTAGTGGTAGATTTCTTTCTGGGATAGAAACCACTATAAGTCTGTATTAAGTATTTTTTAATTATACTACTTTATTTAAAGATAGAGCAAAAATAGTTACATACAATTTTAGAGAGGTAGGCTAGTACAAATTATATTACCAGAGATCACTGAATATTTGTGTATTAAGTATCTGAGTTCTTTATAATAATAATTTTTAATAATAATTTTAAAATTTATTTTGAACTGAACCTGTGCAGGCTGTTGGTCGATATTAGTGTTTTTAATGACCACAATTTTCCTATTGCGCTTAGCCTTCTAGAACAAAGCTAAGTGATTATGTCATAATTATTTTTCTTTCTATAACTAAAAATCTTCTCATTTGTATAAATGTAATTTCTTACAACGTATAGCCAGTGAGGCATATGAGTAGTGAGATTCTTAATTTTCATGACGCTAGTGGATCTACAAAAGCAATTATTTATATATGTATGTATGCATGTTAATCTTCGCCTGAGGATGTTTTTTCCATTGATTTTTTTTTTTTTGAGAGAGTTGGGGAGAGAGAGAGAGGGAGGGACAGAAACAGAGAGAGAAATATTGATGTAAGAGAGACACATTGATTGGTTGCCAGGGCCTGTGATCGACCTGAAACCCAGGGCAACCCAGGTACATGCCCTTGACCAAGAATCGAACCCTTGACCCTTTGGTGCGTGGGCGGATGCTCTATCACTGAGTCACACCGGCCAGGACAAGGAATTTATTTTTTATGACCTATTTTAATTTACTGAAGGAAATTGATCTTTTGAAAGACATTACTACAAACTTATGACTTATATAGTACATAATAGAAATAGAAATAGTAGTATAAAAGTTTGTAGTTACAGTAAGATTCCTGCTGATTGACTTTATTGCTTCATTTTTCATTACTCTCTAGACTAGGCCAAGATGATGAATTTGGCTTCTGCTTGTGACCTAATGCAGATCTTTGGGATCAAAGACCAAGTCAAAATTAAACAATATTTAGCTCTTTTCTGTTCTCAGTTACAGCTGTTTCTATGTGAAGTCTATGCTTATAGAAAAAGGCAACATTATTAAGCAAGAAGAATACTGCTTTATAGAAATTGTGAAAGGCAGTAAAGCTAACTCTCCACCTAGAGATAGTCCTTATATCTCATTGAACAGAACCTGGGCCACAGGACTATCCTTAGCTTCAGAGAAGTCTGGGCAGGTGACTTTTAGCTTTCTAGTTCTGATTGTGGATGAAGGTATAGAGTGAGGGGAGGTTTTTGGGTAGTCAGTCCACAAAGTGTTCAATAAGAGCATAGTTTTTTCTTTGTAGAAACATTCACGATAGGTACCACATGCAAATAACCATGTAGCCACTTGATTTGATTTTTTTTTTTAAATATATCTTTATTGATTTCAGAGAGAGGAAAGGAGAGGGAGAGAGAGATAGAAACATCAATGATGAGAGAATCATTGATCGGCTGCAGCCCACAACCCGGGCATGTGCCCTGACCAGGAATCGAACTCTGATCGCCTGGATCCTAGGTCGATGCTCCACCACTGAGCCACGCCCGGCCGGGCTTGATTTGATTTAAAAAAAAAAAAATACAGAAGAGTAGAAGGAATAGAATAATGAGCTTCCGATACTCATTACTCAGCTTCAAAAATTATCAGTCTGTAGCCAATTTTTTTCATCAGTGGATTGAGATTCATATTATTGGCATAAAATTATTCATAGTATTCCCATATAATGCTTTTAATTTCTGTAGGGGATGGTAGTAATGTCCGTCTTCCATTCATGATTTTGGTAATTTGTGTCTTGTCTGTTTTTTTCCTTGCTCACTGTAGCTAAAAATTTGTTATCTTTGTTGATATTTTCAAAGTATATCTTTCTCTATATTTCTCTTTCATTTCATTGATTTATACTCTAAACTTTATTTCGTTCCTTTTGCTTGCTTTGAATCTGCTTTGTTCTTTAATTCTTTAATCCCTTAACTGGAAGCTTAAGTTATTGATTTGAGATGGTGGTTCTTGTCTAATGTAAGCATTTACAGCTATAAATATCTCTCTTAGCACTGTTTGAGCCTCAAATCTCATAAATTTTTATGTTTGGTTTTAATTTTTATTCAGTTCAGTATATTTTCTGATTTCTTTTGTGATTTTTTTTGTTGACTTGTTGGTTATTTAGGAACATGTTTTTCATTGTTGTTTTGTTAATCCTCACCTGAGGATAATTTTCCCATTGCTTTTTCAGAGAGAGTGGAAGGGAGGGAAGGAGGGGGAGAGAAAGAGAGAAACATTGATGTGAGAGAGACACATCGATTGGTTGCCTCCTGCATGTAAGTTGGTATGCTTGATACTATTTCACTTTTCTCTCTGGTTCTCTTTGTCATTTGGTCTTTTTTTCTATGCTCTTCATATTGGATAGTTTCTGTTGATCTTCATGTTCATTGGTTGTTCTTTCTCAGATCTGCTGTTGAACTCCTCTAGTGAATTTAAAATTTTTGTTACAGTACCTTTCAACTCCAGGATTTTTATCTGGGTCTTTTTTTTCCCTTTTTGTCTAAATTGAGATTAATTGACATAATATAACATTCACCATTTTAAAGTGTACTGTTCAGTGATTTTTAGTATAGTTATAAGGTTATGCAACCATTATCACTACCTGATTCCAGAATATTTTATTATCACATAAAGAAACCTCGTACCCATTAGTACTCACTTCTTCCCCCCATGCTCCACCCCAAGTAACCACTGATCTACTTTCCATCTTGATGGATTTGCTTATTCTGGACATTTCATATGAGTGTAATCATACAACATGTGGCCTTTTGCATCTGGCTTTTTTCACAGAGCTTAATGTTTTCAAGTTTCATCCATGTAGCATGTATCAGTACTTTATTTCTTTTTATGGCTGAATAGTATTCCATTAAGTGGATATGGCCATACCACATTTTGTTTATCCATTCATTAGTTGATGGACATTTGGATTTTCTCCACTTTTGGCTCTATGATAATGCTTCATTGTTTTTTCTTTTACATAATTTCTATTTATATATGCTATTTCATGAGTCATAGGCATTATTCTCTTCTTTAATTCTTTATTCATGATTTCCTTCAGTTACTTGAACATATTTATAAATAGCTGCTTTGAACTTTTTGCCTTCTAAATCTGACATCTTTGCCCTTTCAGAGTTAGTTTGTATTAACTGCTCCCCCCGCCCATATGAATTACACATTTTTGCTGTTTCTTTGTATGCCTTATAATTTTTTTGTTGAAAGCTGGAAATTTTGAGTTCTGATTATTTTCCCCTGAAGGTTGTTGTCATTGTTTTGTTAGTATGTTTATTAACATGTCTGTACTAAATCTGTGGGGTTTGTTTACTGTGTAGTGTGTGACTGCTGATACTTATGCTCAGTTTTTAATTTTTGTTATATTTTTGAACCTGATTTAGTAGGGATTAGCCCTGTATCATCATAATTTAGTGGACAGCCAGTGTTTGGTCTTTGCTTGTACTTAAACACTTTGTTTCATTATATGCTTCTCTCTTAGGCTGATGATTCTTTGTGTATTTTCTTTTTTTTTTATTTTAAATTTTATTTTTGTTTAAAATGTTACAGATGTCCCTTTTTCTCCCCAATGACCCATTCCACCCCTTCCCCTCCTCCTCCCCAGTCCCTCTCCGCACCATTGTCCGTGTCCTTGGGTTGTGCATATACGCATATAAATTCTTTGGTTACTCTCTCCCCCTCCACCCGCCGGCCCTCTTTGTGTATTTTCAAAGTTCAAGCAGTTTTTAAGTTTGCCCTGGGTTTTACTTTCCTTTGGGATGTCTTATCAAATTTCCTCTGTATGTATGCACCATCTTTCATGGTTTGCCAGGGATTTGTAGATAGCTTAATTACTCTTTGGTCTCTCCTACATGGATGGGTAGAGAACTTATTAAGAACCCCTATGGCTGTGTTACTTTCTGGATCTTCCTGGTAAATGTCTGACTAATGTTCTGGTCTTTTGCTTGCTGCAACTTATGCCTCCTGAGCCACTCGCTGTTCCTTGCCATTTGTTTGGCACTGAGATTGCTTCTATTACTGGTGATGCTGTTTGGGGTAGATATTTTTTTCTGTGCTTCAATCAAAATCATGCCAGCCTCCTCTACAAGTGAATCTGCTGGTTTTCAAGGCTTGCCTTTCTCTTGTATAATTACCATGGCAACCCAGCTGGGATGGAAGATGGGAGCAACCCCAGGCAAGAGTGCCCAGGCTCCCACAGTTCTTACCTGCGGTTTTGCGGTTTTTCATGAGTAACCACTTCTTCATTTGCTTTTATGTTTTTGGTCAAGTTCCAGAGCTCTCAAATGGTTGTTTAGACAGTTTTCTCTGGTTATATTATTGTCTTCTGGGGAGAGCGTTTGTTGAATTGCTTATTCTACCACATCTGAACTCCTCCTTTAGACTGACTTTCATGAACAAAAACTTTGAGAAGCTCTGTAATAAGATTTTCTTTTTACTTCATAATCAGAAACATTAAAAAGTTAATGTTTGAACTAAAGATTTAAAATAGGATTGTGGCATAGTTTTCTACTACTTCCCTTTAGTGCCTATAGAACAGTTTTTATTATTTTTATTTATTTTTATCCTCACCTGAGGATATGTTTATTGATCTTAGAAAGAGAGGAAAGGAGGGAGGGAGGGAGAGAGAGATGGAGAGAGAGAAGAAGAGTGAGAGGGAGAGAGAGAGAAAAAATATGAGAGAGAAACATTGATCAGTTGCCTCCTGTACATGTCCCGACTGGGGATCGAACCTGCAACCTAGGTATGTGCCCTCACTTGGAATTGAACCCACAACCTTTTGGTGAATGGGATGATGCTCCAACCAACTGAGCAGCCCGGCCAGGGCTGGCAGGTAGACTTTGGATTAGGTAAAGATAGTTGTTGAATTCTTTGTCTTGGCCTGACAGGAAGTAGGGGTTTTGTATTCCCCTTGGGTTTTGCTACCCTGGAAGTAGTGTTTTGGGGCATAGGACTGCTGGTGGAAGGTAGAAGGAAAGATGTTAAAGAGCAGAAGAGCTATTATTTTAATGCTATAATCATGTAAAGATTATAAGCCCATATATTCATGATTGGAGCAGTACATAAAGCCACAGCATAGAATCATACCACTATCACTTGCCTGGTTATAGCATTCTCTGGTTACATGTAAGTAGGAGAAAATAGTCTTTTGAGTCTTAAATTTGCGAACTTAAATATAGAATTAAAATGATGGTCACATTGAGAAATCAATTTTATATTATTAAAATTTTCTTTAATAAAAATATTTTTATTTAGTTTTACTTGTATTTAAGTGGTTTTCAAATTTAAGTCACTTCTGGAATATCCTGAGGTCCTGTGTGATATATTGTAGTTTTTAATTTGACAAAATTAAATGACTTCCTAATGGAGTTGATCATTTATCACTAATTGGAATGACGAGTCACTAAGGATGCTGAACAATATTCTTTAGCTGGAGGGTGTTTTCTTTTTCTGCATTTTTAAATGAGTACTTTTGAGAGATTTTTGAAAATATGCTTTTATAAAAAGCCACATATTATTATAAACATAATATTTCTGTTGAATTTTTAAATAACAGACTATTTTTTAGAGCAATTTATGTTTATAGACAAATTGTAAAGAAAGTATGGAGTCTTCCCATATATCCCCCTTCTCCCTCACAGTATGAGCAGAAGAGCTATTGGTTAACATACTGCATTGGTGTGTTACATTTGTTAAAATTGATGAACCAATATTGATATTTCTATTGATTTTTAAAAAGCAATTGTAATCTAGTTTAATAGATAAGTAGTTTTTGTGATCCTTATATATACCCAGTTGAGATTTCTATAGTTCATTTTTACTGATTTTTTAAAATGCTGTTATTGATAATGAAACACTATTACCCTGATCTTTTTAGGGTGGAATAATTCATGATGGTTCTGAATTGATTGGCCCTGTTGAAGTTTTTTCGGATTCCCTCACTGAAAGCTTTCCTGAGTGTAGTACGGAAGGTAAGAGATTTTATATTTTTTTCATTTCAGTGGTTTTGATTGCAGAAGATGATAAATCATATTTACATTGCAAAAAGTAAGTGGACATAGGAATTTAAGAATATTTGGTATTGGGTGCATGGTACTGGGTTGATGATACCTTGCATTTAGTTGACAGCCTTTTTTTTCTTAGTGATATATAAGATAATGATTCTTTCTACAGTTAATGGCATCTTAGATTTGATGAAATGTGGTATAGTGAGTGCTCAGAGTTTGTCTTCTCTACAATACGAATGCCTTGCTTAAGTTTATTTAGTAGCATCTGATTTTTAGACAATTAATTTCAAGACTGGCATTAAAAGTTTAGTCATGTACCCAGGAAAAAAAAATCTAAGGCAGTTTTAGTGTTTTTGATATGTTTTATAATAACATGAGTCTAAGCCAAAGTAATTTTTGTACTTTAAATCACTTTAATTCAAAAATGCTGAATCTCTTGTTTTATTCCTTTATAAAGCCATCCTTCAATTTTATGAAGATTTAAAATACATACATTTTTGGATTTTTAGATTTCTTTAGCTAGTTTTCTTTCAGGGAAGATTTTGAAATTTAAAAAAGATTTGGGGACAGGGATGGGGAGAATCTTTAAAAATAGGTAATTAGATTTGTTTGATTTCACTTAGGTCTGGTTTATATAAAGGTAAAATCATAGACTAGATAATATTTTTTAATCTCTTTCATAAGTAAGAGTTTATAGTAGAGGAGGATGCTTTATGAAATTAACTTGGGAAGTAGCCATTTCATTGCAGTGATGCTTTTGTGGGGGATATGTACTGATGTCATATATTGACAGACATTGAGATAGACCTATTGCAATAGAGTCCCATCTTGATTTGGAGGAGCAACAAGTTCCCATCCATTGTATGGGCTGATGCACTTAAAGACATTTTTCTTTTGGTTCTACTGTATTGAGAAGTAATTAAATTTTCTTGTTTTTCGTGGTGACTCCTGTTGACTTAAAAGCAAAGTGTTCTGTGTAATGTGTGGGGACCTCAGGCCCAGGGCCTCCATTGAGACCTCAATATCTTTGACTCCATCGTGAATCGGCTAAGGTCATAGAAAAGCATTGTTGATAATAATTTTACTTTATAATTCATCATGTTTTTGGGGAAAATATATCTATTCTCCATGACCTGTTTTCATCTGAGATCCTTGTTGGGCTTTGAAAAATCTAGTCCCTGCTTGAGTTCCAAATGTGATTCTCTTTCTAGAACTAGTTTCCTTGGAAGGTAACTTCTCTGGGATAACCTTTTCTGGCTGTTGCCTTAGAGATGAGATACCTTCCTCCTGAGAAAGGAGGAGAGTGTGTTTTCTGCCTGTAAAATGTGCTGACCTGATGATGTCTAGTAGAGGACAAGTAGGACAGTTAGAAATATTTGTAGGAGAGTATTTAATGAGGAGTACAGCTCTTAGAAATGACAGAAAAGCTTTTCTCTGTTTTTTTAAAAAAATATATTGATTTAGAGAGAGAGGAAAGGAGAAGAAGAGAGACAAGAAACATCAATGATGAGAGAGTCATTGATAAGAGCCCACAACTGGGCATGTGCCCTGACCGGGAATTGAACCCCAATCGCCTGGATCCTAGGTCGGCGCTCAACTGCTGAGCCATGCCCGGCTGGGCTCTCTTTGTTTTTTGATACAGGAATCAAAGGTTGTTTGATCTGGAAATGGTTATGTTCTTTTGACAGTCATAATAAGCCTTTGTTGCTAGGTGGGAGTCAGCCATGATGAGAGAAGGGTGTTTCAGGAGCCTGTTTTAGTGTAAAGTAATCAGGGATGGGAGCAATGCAGAGGTCTTGTGTCCCTTGCTTTAGTCTAGGAGGGAAAGGGAGGAGCATTATTATTAGGAATGACTTTTCTTGAGATGCTATTCTAAAAGATGCAAAGCTTTTCTGGGTAAAAAAGGTGGCTGTATTCATGTTAAAAGAGATATAACTTAAAGCTGAGGTGAGTTAGTAATTTATTGTCTAGTCTGGGAGACTTCTCAGAATTAAGAGGATGCTATTAATAAGTACAATAAGTCAACAGGCATAAACCAGGGCTGCTTGGACAAACTGGGCATTGTGGGCCACCCTATCTAAAGCAGTTGTTTAAGAGTTTAACCGCGAAGTTTCAAAAAAATGGCTTTTCTTTGGAAGGATTTCTCTTTCGGGAATTTACTTTTATGAGAGAAAAAGTAAATTAGGGGTAACATTTGTGTTAACAACTCAGGAAAAGACTTATGATACCTAAAAGTAATAGTGACATTATATCCTTTCAAGGCTTAGTTTAGTTTTCCAACTGTAGCACCATTCAAAAATACACTGTAATCCATTAAGAATGAAAAACATGGACCTGGAAATGCTGTTCATACTTATGTTTTTACCCCCTTTCTTTAAAAGCCTCTATCCTGGCTAATTAATCCTGCTCAAAGACACCTTGTTGACAAATACAAATCAGAGTGTCAGCTTGCAAATTCATTGCTATTTGAGAGGGGAAATGACTTTAAAAAAAGTGTTTTTATTCTTATTGATTTTTTTCTTTAGAGAGAGAGGAAGGAGAGAGAAAAAGATTTGTTGTTCTGTTATTTATGCATTCATTGGTTGATTCTTTTATATACCCTGGCTGGGATCAAACCCTCAACCTTGGTATATCAGGACAACGCTATAACCAACTGGGCTACCTGGCCAGGGCAAGAGGGGAAATGACTTTTAAATATCATGAAATTGTCAGGCACACTGGGCAACTGTAAGATTTACTTTCCTACCAAAGGTCTGCAAACCCTAGAGACAAACAAGAGAGAGGGAAGAGCAGGAAAGCGGGCAGCCGGCCAAGCCCCACAGGTCTGCAGTGAAATGGAGGGTTGTAGAGGGATTGTGGTTGGCAAGTGCTTGTGGGTTGGATTTAGAGCCAAAATGTGAGGAGGTGATTCACTCCATAACAACTCCTCTGAGTGCAGTATTTTAAATGGTGTTTTGAAGGTAGAGTCATTTTTTATACTTATGATTTAGTTTGCCGGTGGAATGAGCCAGAAGGGCAAATCTTAATATATAGTCTGCTGTTTCAAGGTCCTTCAGGTGGAGTTAGAATGACATGGCAAGTCTATCACCTCTCAGAGAACAGATGTGGAAGCTAAGTGATCATTATTTTTATTAGTACCATAAAAATGCAATCAACAAGTTTTAAGTTACCTTGAAAGAAAGTTTTCTGAGGAAAACATAAAGTGCTGGATTAGCGGCTTAAAAAAATTGTCATTATTGTATAGTACTGTGGGATAGAGGAAACCCCTTTAAGGTTTCATAAAACCAATAATTTGGTAATTAACTGGTAAATATATTTGATCTAATATGAAATTGAAAATTATAAAGTTCTTCAGTAGGTTTTTAGATAAAAAGTTAATACTGTTTTATGTTTTAAAAATGAAATGCTGGTTACTCTTGATCTTTGTTCAGGGAAATTAAACTATATATTTTCTCAAAGATGAAAGGTTTAATTGATTGTTAACATCTTATTTCCTTTTTAAACTTCCATCATTTGTTGCATTAAACTTAGCTATAGAGTTACTGACATTTGTGGAAACCTGGCCAAAATGATGCATGGGAATTGAGCTCCTTGACATGTTTCTCTCATCTGTTGGCCTGTTGGAAGGATGTAGGTTGCTTTACTGCCATCCTGGCCTTGATATTGGCGCCTTTGATGTTGGTATAGTCTCATCTGGTAACCTGTGTCATTTCCTCTTCCTCATACATTACTTTACTTCCTTTGCAGTTTTGGGAGGGACATTTTCCAGGTGTATGCAGCAAATAAGAGAAAATAATTAGTTAATCATAACCACAAATACAAATTGAGAGATCAACATCTAATATGTAGCAGATCTTAAGAGTGACTATTCTTAAATGTCTCCTGGAGTAGTTAAATCTACCTCTTTTTTTTTTTTTTGCCTGTAAATTTTAGATTAGGAGCTCATAAGTGCTTATTCTAACAATTGTAGACTCAGAAGTGATTTATTATGCTGTCTTGAATTAGCCATTTTAGAGTAAATGAGATGTACATTTTGAAGGGAATGGCATCTATTGCTGGTCTCTGTAAGGGAACTCGTACAATAACTCTCAGCCCAAGATTTGTGTGTTTATTTCATGGTAGGGTAATACTTTTTTGCATTATGTAGATAAACATGAAGATTGTAATTAATATGTGTTAAATAGAATAATGCTGATTATATTTAAGAAATTAAATGTAATCAACATTATATTATTTTAGGGGGACTAATTGGAAAGGGATATAGTTATATAAGTTAGAAAAAATTCTTCTGTTTTAAAATAACTTTTTATTATATTTTCTTTTACTTTTTATTATTTGTATTATTTTCATTTAGTTGATTTAAAGTTGATGCTTTGAGACAAGATCATTTAAAAAAGTAATATTCTTCAGTTTATTGGCTATTTAATAACCTAAATATATTTTAAGGCAAATTTAAAATTTATACACTACATGTAGTGTAAGATGACAAGTATAGAAAGTCTAATTAAAAGTAATTTAAATTTAAGAGGAATTTATAGCAAATGTCCACTAGGTGGCACCATGAGAACTCCAAATCTTGTTACTGGGATTAGTCTGGGCTCTCTATTATATTAGAATAAGCTTCTTCAGTTTGAATTTCCTTTTTCTCTTAAATTTTATTCAGTGTTTTTTATTAGTTGAATTGTCTTTGGTAGGGGACCTTAAAATAGGAAAAAAAGAATAGGTCATTATTCTCAAGATAAACACAAATGAGAGTGGGTCATTGTATGTGTATATGTAAAACAAATGATATAAATTATAAATATTGACTCTTAAAACCCTGGGGCTGTTGAGGATAATGTTGAACTAGAACTTTGGGGATTGGGTGAGGCAAATAAAGTTATATGTTGGAATGGGTTTTAGAGTTAGATCTCTTAGTTTACAATTAAAATTGGAATTTCAGAGAAGGTAAGCCATGTGCCTAT